TTTAACTTTATAATGCTATAACTTATTGAAAAGTTTATGGATCCACACAATTTTTTTATGAGAAATAATATTTTTTAATAAACCCTTTTTCATTCGACATACTTTATCTTAATCGAGATATTAATAAGGAACCAGCAGATCAAGTAGCTTTTGGAATAAAACACTAATTTTTTTAAAATTAAACACTATCTAAAGATTTGCATCGAAGCGTTTATTTTTGATAGTGATTTTAATCACTATCAGATATCATTATACTTGATCCAACTATGCCACGTCACCACTGTGCCGCGACCCCCTTGTGCTGGGTTTTTTTAAAAGGTTTTTTCATAATTTTTTTTGATATATTTAAAATAATATTCCTAACAAATTATATTTTAAATACCTGCTTCTTCAGCTTTTTCTAAAGCTTTTTGAGCTTCTTGACGTCTTTCCGTACGCTTTTCTAATTCTGATGATTTCATTTGTGGAGGCTTACCATCAAAAACATATACTGGTTTAATACCATTCTCCAAAAGTCTTATAGTTCGGTAAAATGTTCCCATTAAATGACTATAATATACATAAATTAAAATGTTATATACAATTATTTATATTGTAAACAAAGTAATAGTAATTAAGAAAAACCTGGTTGTTTCTCCATCAACAGAAGTTAATTGTGATCCCTCACTTCGTACAGCTATTAGAAATTGATAAAGGCTCATTGATGCATCAATAGCAATTTTTCTACCTACAGAAAATAATAGTTACAACATATCTGTTAAATATTTAATCAACTTAAATACCCACCNTACAACATATCTGTTAAATATTTAATAAACTTAAATACCCACCAAAATGGTTTTTTATTTCATTTTCTCTAATAGCATTAGGAGCTACATCAGCTATGAGTTTCGCTAATCCAGTTATTCCCATATTAGTGATACCTAATAATACAAATTTCAGTTATTTCTAAACTTTTATTCTATGGATATATTATTTTTGAAATATAAACAAATTAATTTACACAAAGAATTGACTTTAAATATAAAGAAAATGACATTACGGACAAGATAATAACGTAGCGTGTACAATTCTTAACAATAATCTAGCATTTAGTAAGAATTCAGTCATGTTATCACTGAATTAACGCGGGAAAATAAAAATTGATAACAACAATTACTATCGACCACGGTTATACAGATCTGTATATAAATATGTCTATTTATGTTGCTGCTAACGGTTAATAAATAAGAGGGTATTTGAAACGTCTTTGTTCATAATTTCTATATTTTTAACATTTAAGTTTTAAATGTATCTATTTCAATGGTAAAAAATAAGTTAAAAATATATATTAGAATGTAGTGGTGTAATTACGGAATCGAAAAGGGGTCACACTTTCAACCCCTGACAAAATTTAAGAGTCACCAAAGTATAGTTTTGCAACTGTTAAAAATATCAAATAGCTAAAGGATATTATGTGGTCAGGGTAAAAATTTGTTTTATATAGAATCTATAGTAGATATTTATAAATGACGACTACCTATTTATGTTTTTAATGTATATTTTTTCTCAATAATTGTTTTATAAACACTTTATTTCGGAATTTATAATTATAAATTATTCTTTGTGTATCGTTAAAATATGAGTGTAATTATTTATTTCGATATAGCTATTTTATTTAAATCTTCATTTATGCCAGCATAATAAAGTATTGGTTTAGGCATTGGTTAGAGTCTCAAAAACGCTGATCATCTTCCAAATCGATTAAAAAATTTTAAATCCCCTAAAATTTTACCCAAATTATACCATTATACTTTTAGTAATTACACTATTATAGTTAATAAAAAGGGTCCTCAACAAAAAAGAATTTTTATTTTTAAAATTTTAGTCTTAATGTAATAGTTAAATAATAGTAGTTCGTCACAATAATAGGAAATAAATGTTTATAATGATGAAATGACATGTAGTTTAGAGTTATTTGGCTTCGTAAAATAAATTTATTTATTTTAAAAAAATTATTTTTTTGGTTATTAATTATATGGTTAGTTTGATGTCAGTAGGGCCTTCCAAAAGTGGTCTATGGGGGAGTGTTACACCTCTCAATGACATTAATCAATTATAGTTGAACTGATATATACTTGTGAAAAAGTTAATTGTAGTGGTTTCCCGTTGCCTTCCTCATTAGGGACGTGGTGTACTTTTTATCGTTCTAAAAAATCGTGTATGATCATCATTAATTTAGTGTTCTTTTATCCAACAAGTCTTTGGTAGTAGTCAAAAGAGAAATTTATGCTAGTTGTATTTAAGCAACCTTAGTGTAATTACAACTTGAAATTACAGCTGACAGTCATGGACATACCTCTTGGTAGTGTTCTAGGAGATAGTTCTGACTACCTTAGGTCTTTAAGCCTTTTACATTACTGTAATATAAGGTGAATTTTGGATCTACAACAAAAAAAAGCATAACATTGAAATCTAGACAACTAATTGATTTCACGGGAAAAAATCATAATGATAAAAACATTTCCTAAGAAATGTTACGTATATATAATATATAATAGAATATTATTCTTTATTAGTGGTTCGTTATAAATTAATTTTACTTAGTAAAATATAAAATTAAATATATTTAAAAATGAATATGTGCACAATCCTACTTAGTTTTTGACTTTTAAAAAAATTGTTTGATTAGATTTCATATATTATCATTATTTGATAAGTTGCAGGGATATACAAACCAATTAATACTTAAATTATACTAGTTTTTACTCGTCGATTGATAAATAACTAGTATAAAATTGTTAAAAGATTATTAAAATTATATCAGTTTACAAATTTATTTAATAATTATCAACTTTAATTGAGTATTAGTGCACTTTTCTATATTTTTGTACTTTTACTTATTAGTAATAATGTGTTTTGTTACCCGGCTTTTCATTTTAGTAATAGAGTTGACAGTTAATAATAACATAATGTCCATCAATAAGTTTGAATGAACTGAATATGTTTGCATTTTAAATTTAGTTGACTATTTAACATGCAAGTTTTGTTGCATGTTTGTTTTTAATCTGTTTGTTAGTTACTGTAAATATATAGTACTTTTATCGTACAGGAGTCGTGTCGCCTGTTTGATCTAAAAATTAACTAATTTTTATAATAAATAATTTAGTTAAAATTTAAATAGTACACTAAATTTAATTGTTATAAATCTATTTATCCATGTATTATATTTAACAATCATAAAACCTGTAATAAGACTATAATTAAAGAAATAGGTGTTGATATTGTTTTTGGAATAATCTAACATTTCTTTCTAAAAATTAATACTATCTACGTATTTGCATCAAAGCATTTTTTTCAATAGTTATTTCAATCATTATCAGATATTATCTATACTTGTCTCAACTTTGCTGCGTCCCTACTGTGCTGAGTTTTTTATAAAGAAAAAGTATTATTTAATTTTCAACCTTTGATATTTTTATAATTTAATTATATCTTCTTTTAACCTTCTACAATCTTAGTAGTGGTTTTTGAAAGTCCGTTTCCCTAATAAATTTAACAATAGTTAAATCTATGTGACCATTGTTTAATATAAAAATTGAACAAGAATAAATAATTCTATGACAGAAATAATAACATGATTGGTTAGTTATACTCAAATACATTAATTTAGAGGAAATAAGGTTGAACATTTGACATCATAAAAATATGCAAATATTCACCTTTATAATTAATCGAGTTTAATATGTTAAAAAGCAACAGCAACAACTTCGGTTTTCAAGTGATAATAATTACATTATTTATCTAAATTATTTTATAAAACTTATTTTAAGGAGAAAATGTTGAATATTTTTTATTAAATTTTTTTTCTAAGAAATAAAATGGAAAGATTAAACTACCGATAAATTTCAATTTAAACTATACTGATTCATGTCCATAAATTCCAGTCATAATAACTTAAGTTTTCTTTTATCTGTACGATGACATAAATCTAAATTTCAGCAAAAAAAAATTTAGGTAGACTCACCACAGAGGCTAAGGACCAATTGAATTCTAGGTTGTGTAAAGACCGGTGAAGACCACTATGAATAGTGGACTGGCTTTGTCTAAAAAAGACTTATGCAGAACACATTATAAATATGTAATATTTATTACAAATATGTGTATATATTGAATTTTAGTATGTTAAAATAATTTAAATATATTTTATTTATTATAGAAAAAATTATAATGACTTGTGTAATTATAATGTGTAAAAAATGTTGACGATTTTTTTTGTCCGTCACTGTTGAGTGATGCAAAAAAATGTTGAATTGAACAAGAACGCCACAATTTTTGTGCTTTCTGGGCCGTTGGTCTCCTAATCCGCCTCTGTTTATAATATATAATAATGATAATAAATTATATGCAGAAGGTCCAACTATGTTTAATAATTTTTTATCCAGTGGATATATTGGATTAATTATTTTTTAAATAAATTTTACAGTTTTGGATTACATTAAAACATTTTTTAATTATTTGTGCCTAATATATATATATATTATTATATTAAAAATTTCAAAATATCTTTTTTTTTTAAGTTTTTTAACAAACATTTCTGATGAGTCGATAAGAACTTTAAGATAAGTACTTATTACTGTACTATACGTGCATTCGGAACAAACAAATGATTGTTGAGCGAGTATTATATTTTATACATTTTAAATAAATTAAAAAATTATAATACCCGGTCGGTTGAGCTTTAAAGTCATAAGATAATAGATGGCTAATTTGGTCTTTCACGCAATTTATTTAAGTTGTTGCAATTTTCTTTTAATGTCCAAAATATAAATTGACGTATGATGTTACATTAAACTCTCTATTATCGTTGCTCGTTACATTTATTTAAAAATTGTACTCTTGGTTTTATTTAAATTTAGATGAAACTTAAAAAGATATCTAGTTCTAATGCGCTCGAATTGATTTTAGGGTAATGTCTAAGCTTCTCAGACTCAATCTCATTCTACTTTTACTAAACCCATGTGTTTAGCATAGTCCTTTATAGTCTTCTCGTTGATATTTATGCAACGCATGTTATCAAGGCTGGGTCTTTTTTAACTTGTCAAAATTAAGTTAATTGGAAAAATAACGAGTTATTAGTTAATCCGTTATTTTAATTTTTGAATTAAGTTGACAAAATCTCATTAACATAACGAGTTAAGTCAATAGAAGTGTTAGGTTTGAATAAGTTAAATAAGAATAGGTTTGCAAAAAAATCATGTTCATAGAGTGATAAAAAATGTTGAGAAACCAATTTTTTCCTTCCAAATTTTATTCTGTATACAACAAAAAACATGATCAAAAAAAAAAAAAATGTATGACATAATCATGTAATTTTATCTTCCAAAAATTTATTATTGTGCAAGCTAATGGAAATTATGTCATATAGTAGTTGCTATGGCAATGCTTCGTATCTCGATAACTTTAAATTTTATTTTTTGGAAAAATACATAAATACAATGTGACATACATTTTTTAAAAGTAATCATAAAAAGTAAGTAAATAATAGAATAAATAATTTCTTTTATTGCCTGAAATAATGTAATTACAAACCCTATTTTATATTGTTACCCGTACAAAAATAGTGTATTTTTTACTTTCTCGTAGTTTCAAAAAATGAGTTACACAGTTTCACCACGAAGACAAAACTGCAATAGAAATAATTTTTCAAAAATATGTTGATTTAAAAAAAAAAATGTCTTTTTAAATTTATAATTTTATTAAAAAGTCGGTTTTTCATGNCTCACTTAAAATTATTGATGATTCATTGACAAAAATAAAACCCCGTGCAAACAATACAATCTATGAAATATTTGAAAACTAGTTAAAACAAATCCCCTCCAGCGTGCAATTATGATGTAATCCAATAAGCATTAATCTACACTAAATGGATATTCAAATTGAA